TAACACTGTTGATCTTTAGTTACACTATTGCACTGATGAAGTCTGTCCTCAGACATCCAGACGGGACTGTGTAAACACAGAGTTCTCCACAGAGCACTTCTGTGGGTCAGTGGGTGTCACAGGACTTGTTTTGTTTCTTTTACTTTTTTGCCATAGTGACACGCATACTACGTATAATTAAGATTAGTTTACAGGGGGAATTCCTCCTCCTCCTCCCAGCACACAGACCTCATATCTGCAACTGTTTATCTCTTGGCTTGGCTTTCAAGCAGCACAAACCAAATGTTTGTGCTGCTTTCGTCAGCCGGCAGTTTGGGTTTTTCTAAACCTTTTAGGTTTTACTCTTAAAAACATCCCACAGAGCTCCATTAAAGAGAGAAAATTAGAGATTCCAAAAGTTAAATTTTACAAAGTGTGAAATTTACACAGGCGGTGTTACAGGGAGGAGCTACGTTCTCTCCACCTTCACTGTTATCAGATTGTCGTCTGATAAATGTTTTGGCTGAAGTTTCCCTTTTCCTTCACTTCAGCACGTTCTGGTTGCAGTGAATTCTCCCCAGTTTTCCCAGTGAGCAGTGTTTTCCCACTCACGCCTTAAAGACATTCAGACAAGTTTAGCTGAAGCATGTGACTTTTTCTCTTCTTGGCTTTGTTTTTATGCTTTTTTTTCTTTGTCTTAACTTCAGCATTTTTTAACTTCAGCGTCTTACATTGACAGATATAACCTCTTTAACTAGTCACGAGTGTTATGGTGACCCGCAATAAGATATTTTAATAATATAAGAAATTTACATATATATTAATGAATTGCTTTTATAATATTTAAACCCTCTTATCTTGAGGCACCACTGACTATTTAAAAAATATATATTTTTCTGGTTTGTGGTAAACACAAACCAGAAAGATTATTTTTCAGGTCATTAATAGTAGAATTACATGTGTTACAGGTGGACAGACTCTGTGCCCTGTAAGCTTCAACCTTTTGCATTGCACTATCTGACAGGCGGCACCTCCGGGGCAAGGAAGGTTGCAACAGCAGACTGACAGCGAGCGCTGGCATGAGCACACTGGAATAAGTTCTGCACTGATGTCTTGGCTTAGAGGTACCAGGGCATCCACGAATCTGCACAAAATCCCGGCACGATGCGGGCGGTTGCTGTGTTTGTAAGTGCTTTTGTATATGGATTGGTGGTGGGCTGTGCAAACTGGTGATGGGCTAAATCAGTACAAACGTTCTTTCTGTGATTTCTCTGTGAAATGAAATGTAAAATAAAATATCCCTAAAAGCAGAGATGTGAGCTCTTAAATGAAGGTAGCTGTTAGTCTCTTAGTGAATTAACCTCTCTTCATAGCTCGGATCCAGTGATGTTGCTAGAATCGTACAGTATGGTTGTGCTCGCTCTGTTTGTTAAAATGAAACCTCGTCAGATTAGTGGAAAGGAGTGCCTGTTGATGTCAGCTCTGTGTTATACGTCTTGTCCTGTTGCAGCACCTTCTTCTCAGACAATGAAAGCCACAGCAGCAGGATGTGAAATCCTCACACTCACTCCTCATCCACACACACTGAAAAGCTCAGATAATGGTGCAAAACCATTTTTCTTGTTTTCACTAATACTGCCTGAAGCTCTGGCTTCAGTGCTCCAAACACTTCAGACAGCTTTTGTTTTTCTCTAATGTTTGGGCTTGGTCTGCACACCCCACCCACCGACCTGCCCTTTATATCTTTTGTCTGCGAAGAGCAGCCGGGCTTGCAAAGCGGCCTAAAAGGAAGGTAAAATGGCTCGTGTCAGACGGTGGATAAAAGTAAGAGGAGTAACAGCACGACGTTTATATAGTCTTCATTTCAATTTCTTTTATTTGCAAGTTGAAGCTATGCAAAGGTTGTCATTGTAGGCAAAACTGAAGTCTAGACTCGTGCTGGGACACAAGGTCAACAAGTGCTGGTGCAGAAAAGATTCAAGAGATGCCTTCTTGCCCCTAAAGTCTTTAGTCATTATTGGGATGCTAATTGAATCAGTTCCAAGAGGCCAGAGTGTCTAGGCAAAAAAACACAAAACAAAAAAACCCGAGACACACCTTATCCACACACACTGTTAATTTTAATGTTCGCTTCCTGCCTGCACCACAGTCCTTGAGTCTTGACTCTGCTGATGCCACCCAGGACGATTAGTGTGCGTTAAGCCGACTCTTTATCTGGTCATCTGCGAATCTTCAAGTGGAATCTGTGCTCATGTGAAACCAAAGTGCTCAGAAAAGGAGGAAAGAAATCATGTTTACTTCCCTCTCTGTAACTGCTTCTTTCAATTTCTGTGTGTGTGTGTGTGTGTGTGTGTGTGTGTGTGTGTGTGTGTGTGTGTGTGTGTGTGGGGGGGGGGGGGGGGGGGGCTTTCAGTCCTCACTTCCTCCTTTCTTGTATTTCGTTTCATGTCAAGTTGTGGAGACGAGCGGAACGGGGAGAGGGAGTGAATGTGAAGGGGAATTAGAGATGATAAATAAAGTCGGGAATTGAAAGGGTTTGGAGGGAGGATGTGGAGCGGCGGCGCTTCAGTAATAAACCAAGCAGCACCAGCTTTGACCTCATCATATGCCTGCTTTACCTTTGACCTCTTCCCCCTTTCTCCACCCGTAGGCCCAATTCACTGAGATCTAAAATGGGAAAGAGATCGTCTAAAATGGGAAAAGACAGTAGTTGCGTATTTCTCAGAGTTTCTGCAGTATCGGGGCTCGTTAACGGCGCGATGTGCCGGAGGATGCTTTCTCACAGCATTCCCCCAAAACAGCACCGACGTCTTATTTGAGGATCGCTTTTATCTTCTTGTTGTTGGGCTGGAAGTTGCTCGTTACAGTCTCATGTGACCTTTTAGTTAGCAGCGTATTTCATTAACCTGGTGTCGCTGCGATTAAGTTTGAGGAGAATTGTGTTCATTAGCATGCAAATTGAAAAGGTGCGGCGCTTGTTATCTGTTATTTACTATTAAATTATGATTTATTTTTTTTACTTTTGTGGCTCTGCATTCAGTTACTTGAATTAAATAATCCTTTTTTGTGTTCTGTCATGTACACTTAAACTAGTATGTGGCAGGTGGAAAGGCTGTTTGCCTGTAAATGTGCTCTGTTTGTACCTGGTATTAACCCGCGACCCGTAGATGCTTATCTGCACTCTAATATCCAATTTGTCAGTGTAAACGCTAACATGCCAAACTTCCCCCTCTGATGGGACATTTCAAGATTTTGACCTTCTCAGTATTTTTGTGGATGGGGCTGAATGGAAGGCTCTGTAGTGTCATGTTTTTCCCTTCATATGAGCCTCTGTGCAAGCTGGAGATCAGATTGTGTCATGTGACCGCGGCGGGGAGATAACTTGTTGCTATAATTTTGTGCTTCTTGTTGTGAAACAGTGGTGCAGACTGCAATTGAGCTCTATTGTTGTTTGAGCCCTTTGCAAACCTCACAATGACAAGCTCTTTGTTTGTGTCGCTTGCTTTATTTCATATTTAATGATTATTCCACTCATCTATAATCTCACCCACTTAAGATCGAAGTGGGCTGTGTGCGGCCTGCGGTGTCACACCCAGAGGTTTAAGAAACCTTCTAGGATTGCAGAAGCTCTGTTTGTGCCGTAGACAACATTAACCTGCTCTGCAACAGGTTAGAGCTGCAGCATGGGTTACCATGGCGATGCACCCTGGTAACAAACTCGAGTTAATGCAGAAGTTACCTGGATTTTTTTTTTGTTATTTAATGCTAAGCTGCTTGCAAACACCTTAGCAGCTTTTTGAAACACAAAGTTTCCAACTTTAACCTGACTGTTGGACAAAAGTTCTTCAATCATTGTCCTCCTCATTTGAGTAAAACAAATCCGCATCCCACGACATCACATCCTCTCGTCCGCTCAGCTGGACCTCACTTCTTCCTGCTCCTCTTCACATTCGTTTCACATCCAGTGGAAGAGCTGTGCTGAGCAAGCTTCAAGTTCATTTCATGCACTGCTGGGAAATGTCTTTCTTTTCCTTCCTCAGTACTTTATCCCTTATTCATCTGAACTTAACATTTTCTGGCCAACACTATTTTTTGAAGACGGGCTTAAATGTAAGAATAAATTTTGCCGTGTAAGCACGGGCCGTCACCGTTACTCGACTGAGAAATCCTGCTTCAGAGCTGCTTTTTTGGCTCAAACATGGAAATCTGGGTGAAATGCTTAATATCAAGTGGACGTGGACATAAAGGAGTGTGTTTGAACTTGAAAGCAACTTTTCTGTTATGCTTTGTAGCTTTGGACATCATAATCATCCATTAGTAGGGACACTTTCTTATTTTTGTTCTCATCTCATCCATATTAAGAAAATCGTCCATTAGCAGCTACGTCAGGATTATTAATGATGCACACTGGATGCCTGGTTGTTTGTGTGTGTTAATTAAAAAAGAAGAAAAAAGCTACAGGATTGAAATTAATTCACGTTAACTCTGCACGATTATCAGCATGAATTATCCACAGTTCACTGGACTGAGTGAGGCCAAAGCGCTGCCGTGAAGAAGCCTGTTGGGGTTTGTTTTTTTTAATTTGAGCTCCACTTTGGTCTTTGTTGACATTTATGGCTCTTTAGCTGCTAAATAAGCAGTTTTTATTTCCGCTATTTTCTGTTCTGTTTGAAAAGTGTTTTTTTTTTCTCTCCCATATATTTTACTCTTTGGAAACACATCTCGTCAAATCATGCACAATCCTTTTAAGCGAACCTCAATGTACAAAGACCACGGATCCCCAAGATTGTTTTTGTTTTTTTTCTATATCTTTATACTACAAGCATTCAGCTAAGGGAAGAAAGGGCTCTAAGATGACTCCACAAAGTGAACATTGGCAAGTGTGTGTGTAATATTAGAGGGAGAAAAGGCAGGTTTGTGGCTCTGTTTTTATCTTGAAAGCTTGTTGCTTCTCATGACTTGTGCCTCACCGGTGGAGGTAAATGGTGCACTGATGTCTCTTCCTTTTCCATTTGTTCCAGGATGAAAATGCGGCGGCACAGGGTGTTCTTGCTGTGCACGGTGGGCCTGTGTGTCATCTCCTTCCTCCACTACTACAAGGCCCTCCATTACGTCTCCCTGCTGCGGGAGCTCTCGGCTCCATACCCCAACATCAAGTCCTTCATCATGGTGACCGGCTTCTTCTGGAGGGAGAAAGGTATGGCCACCACCCCGCTCAGCCCAGCTTCTCCTGAAGAGGCCCCCCCTCTACCCGGTCTCCGGCAGTCAGATGCCAAAGCTAGAGGCGTGCCGGGTCTCGGGGGAGGAGGCGGAGGGCAAGGATTTGGCCCAGGGATCCCAGAGGCCATAGCTGGAGGTGGAGATGAGGAGATGAGGCAACGAGAGGAGCCAGCACCACCACATCCCTGGGAGAAACCAAAGGAAAACCAGCTGGGAGACGCAGCAAATGAGGTAAGATGGGTAAACCCGAACGCAACAGCGCGGTGTCGAACGCCTCACAATTTACACCTTCAGACAAATTTATGTTTATGTATTTCAAGCTTTCAGCTCAAACTCCCACACAGATCCCTGCATCTGAGCCCTGTTTCTCATCCATTCCCAGGACTGTTGTTTTGCTTTCTCTCTAAAGCCACCAAACGTGCGCTATTAAAAATGCAAATTTTACCTCACAGCGCACCTGGGTTTGTTTTTCTAGACCCGGGTGACTCTGTTTCTTTTAAGATGTTAGTTTGCATCACAACTGTTGTGTTAAAACGTCAGAGTCACATTGCAGGGCAAGCAAGCAACCAGCCAAGGCAGCAGTATTTGACTTTTCTCCAAGACTGATGTGATGCATTGTGCAACCAGATGAGATTTCCCCAGACCTCCAGTATATTAAAATGTGTTGGTATAATCCTGTGCTTCTTTAGCTGGGGATCTTAACCCTTTAAAGTTGGTCAGAGCGGGCACGCTCCGTTTTGGGTAACTATTTTTAAATCCCGGTAGCACTGCAACCACGTGAGCTAGCGCAATAAT